GTTAACTGGGATTGCCAATAGTCACATGAATTCTTTCTCTACTCATTTTACTCATTATACAGATATAATACATAGTCTCATCTTTTTTATATAAATTTGGAATGCACAATGAATGTATTTTTAAAAACTATTCCTTAATATTTTTACATTCCATTTAACATTAATTATTATTAAATAATAATTGAAAGTTTGCATTGAAAGTTCAGTATAGAGGAGTGTGCCATATAGTACTAAATAGCATATCTGAAAAAATTTTCAACAAGAAAAAGCAAATGTACACATAGAGTTATAGAATCATAATGCTGGAAGGTACCTTGGAGGTCTTCTACTGTAGTCGAATCCCCTGCCCAAGGCCTTATACCAACTCAAATAAATGAATGTCCAGTCTCCAGAGATGGAGCTTCCAGAACTTCAGAAGGTAAGGTATTCCATTGTTTTCACTGTCAGGAAATCTCCTTAGTTCCAGATTGAATCTCTCTTTAACAAGCTTCCTCCTAATGCTTTTTGTCCTGCCCTCAGGTGTTTTGGAGAATAAGTCAACCCCCTCATTTCTGTGATTGCCCCTCAAGTCCTAGAAGACAGTTTTGTCAGCCCTAATCCTTCTAGATCAGGGGTTTTCAAACTTGACAGCTTTAAGACTTGTGGACTTCAACTCCCAGAATTCCTCCTCCAGTTGTGTTAGCTCAGGAATTCTGGAGTTGAAGTCCACAAGTCTTAAACTTGCCAAGTTTGAAGACCCTTTGGCTAGACATACCTACTTCCCTTAATTGTTCATCATATGGTGATAAGTTGATTGATCTGTAGTTTCATGATTCCACTTTTTTTTTTCCTTTTTTGAAAATTGTAATAGTAATAAATTTGGAAAGAATCTTGAAGGTCCTCTGGTCCAACCTTCTGCTCTCAGACAAAATCTATACTATTTCTGATAGATGGCTGTCCAATCTCTTCCTAAAAGCAGTGTTGGGACACCCACAATTTCTGAAGGTAATTTGTTCCACTGGTATTGGAAGACTGCTATCATGCCACCCCTGATCCTTTTTTTCACTAGACTTAAGTATATCCAATTCCTGCAATCATTCTTCATATGTTTTAGCTTCTAGGCTCCTAATCATTTTTGTTGTTATTCTCTGAATTCTTTTCAAAGTCACAACATCTCTTTTTGTATTGGGATGACTAAAACTTGATGCAGTATTCTAAGTGTGGTCTTACCAAGGCTTTGTAGAACAGTACTAGTACTTCACGTGATCTTGATTCTATTCCTCTATTAATGCAACCTAGAATTAGAACCTCATCAGCTCTTTTCCAGTCCTCTGGTAGGTCCCCTATACTCCAGAACCTTTGAAACATTTTGTTCAGTGGTTTTGTGATCATGTCTGCCAGTTCCTTCAGAATCCTGGCATGTAATCCATCTGATCTGGGTGATCTCCTCTTGTCTAGAGTTGATCTTCTCTTACCACTTCCTTGCCTCCCTTGACCCATATTCCTGTTCTGTCTCCTATGGTGCTGCTTTTGATAGATTGGATTATTTTTTGATTGGTTGGATTATTTATTATTTACCATCTTCTCCCATCAGTGGACCTATAATTTCCCTGACTTACTTCTTATTCTTTATGTATTGAAAGGAGCTTTTGTTATTTTTGGCATTTTTTGCATGTCTTAGATATTTAGTTTACCTTCCTATCGCTTCAAGAATTATCACTGAAGTGTTATCATTTTGCCTCACATTTTCAAGAATATGTTGCTTATTTTAGGATGGCCATGATCTTTTTCTTTACCCCTTGAATCACATAAACATATTTCTTTTTCATAAATACCCAGTTCCCTGCTCAATCACAGCAGGTGATGGCATTTTTAAGTTACTTTTGGTTTGGAGAGTAAGGATGGTAGTAATGTCATTTTTCCTCCTCAATTAATATGCTGTCTTGTGAAAGAAAATAAGTGACTGCATTTAGGGAAATGACAATGGAACAACATATTGCTGCTGAACTCCCTTTGGCAAACACCAAACTTGTTCTCTATTTCTCAAATGCAGTCTTCATGCTCTTCCCTGGATAATTGTTAGGGAATTGTCAGTCCTATAAAATGAATAAGAAGCAATGGGTGGAAGCTTGTCAGGGAGATCCAACCTGGAAATAGGGAGGAATTGCCTGACTGTAAAAACAATAAATTAGCTTTCTCTCCCAGAGTTGAGGGTGCTCCATCCCTGGAGGTTTCCAAGAAAATATTGGACTGTCATTTGGTCAGAATAGTCATAGGGGTGGAGGGAAAGGCATAAGGACTCTTGCCTTGGGCAGGGGGTTGGATGAGAAGATTCGTTCCAGCCCTATAATTGTATGATTTTATGAAAAAAAAATGTGTACTACATTTGAGGGATCCTTGATGAGTAAAATTGAACTACTGCATATGACAGCTGGCAGAAATAAGAGCTTTTCCTGCAATAGCAATAGCAATAGCACTTAGTCTTATATACCACTTCACAGTGCTTTACAGCCCTCTCTAAGCGGTTTACAGGGTCAGCATATTTCCCTCAACAATCTGTGCCCTCATTTTACCCACCTCGGAAGGATGAAAGGCTGAGTCAACCTTGAGCCAGTGAGTATTTAACTGCCAAACTTCAGCCAGCCAGCAAAAGTAGCCTGCAGTACCACATTCTAACCATTGCATGACCATGGCTCATAGAAATAAATAGTTTAACTGTTACTCAGGCACACATAATAGCTGATTTAAAAGCCATATGTGTAGGAAGATTACAGCACCAGTGATTGAATCAGGCTACAGGTTGCTTCCATTCCCCTCCCTCCCATTACTAACAAACTTGTTATTTATATTTTAAATACTGTACACCTATCAGGACTGATTGCAAAGAGATGCTTCAAAGCATGTGAGAATGCACATATAGCAGATATACAGCAGCTTTTCTTGTCTTGATTGTTGGGAATTGTGGCATAAACTGGAAAAAGATGTTGCTGTTAAAAAGAGTTTCAGGCATTAAAGCCTAGGCCTCATCAAAAACTGTGTGTGCGCATGCGTGTGTGTAAATAAATACAGTTTTAGGATAAATTTAGTAGATTTATTCTCTAAGCCTAACACAAAGAAATCCCACTTTCTATCATTAAAAGCAGCGTGGATAGAAAGTAAGTGGTTGTTAGCAGCATTTAACTTTTATCCTGGTGCAGCTTTGTGCAATCTTTGTTTTCTCCCAAATATTGAATGGCTAAATTGATTCTTGTAAAACAGGGGTGTCAAAATCAAATTTCATTGAGGCCTGTGTGAGCGTTGTGGTTGACCTGGGGGGGAGGGGGTAGCCGGTGTGTGTGTGTGGCCAGCTTCCCTGCCTCCTTCCTTCTCATTCCCATCTTTCTCCCTCCTTCCCTCTCCTTCCTCCTCTCATTAGTCCCATTACTTCCCTACCTCCCCTTCCTCCTTCTCTTATTCCCATCTCTCTCTTCCCTCCCTCCCCCTCCCCTTCCTTCTCTTTCTCATTCTCATCTCCCAGTGGTGTATTAACCATTAAGCAGACTAAGCACGTGCTTAGGGCTCCAGGCCCAAAGGGGGCACCACAAAGTTGAAAATATGGCTTCGTTTGTACAGTATGTACAAAGGAGGGGGGCACCAAGATTTGTCAGTGCTTAGGGCACCGGTGAGCCTTAATCTGCCACTGCCATCTCCTTCCTTCCTTCCTCCCCCCCCCTCTCCCCTCCCCCCCCCCCCTTCCCCCCCCCCCCTTCCCGGGGGGGGAAGGGGTTTTCCCCCCCCCCCCCCCAGCTTTTAAATGTGGTTGTTATTAAGAGCCAGGGATGCTTGCTCAGATACCTGCTGCTTGTTTTTTCCCAAAAGAAAAAGAGAAATCGCTGGCCCAGGGTCAGCATCATAACTTTTAAAAAGATTTTAGAAGCCATTCTTTTAATTTTGGGGTCTCGCTTTTTGGGACAACCCCACCTCTCCTCCCTGCTCTTCCTTTGTTTCCAAGAAAAAAAAGAAATCAGAAGAAGAGAGGAAGAAAAAATACATACACACAGAGGAGACAAATCCAAAGTCTGAGAAGGGACCCTTACAAGCCCGAATCACTGCCTCCTCCACTCCCACCGCTTCTTCTTCCAAAGGTAAAAGCCCCCAGCCAGAAACGGTGCTTCCAGAGCAAGGAAAAAGAGGAAGAAAAACCAGGGAGAAAACCCCCCTCCCATGTGTCTGCTTCTGAAGTAAAGGAGGCGAGAAATCGAGCAGGGAAGCCAGAGCGGGAGAGATCAACTGCCAGCCAGAGTAATGTCAGCCTCGGGGATTTACGGTAGCTTTTGGCTCCCCTTTTTCTTCCTTTCCCACAAGCGGCAATAACTGCTCTTGGTTTGCAGGATCTGAGGCTTATTTTCCCTTTCTGCCTTTGCCCTCTTCCCAGCCAAGGAATGCTGCTACTTTTTGCTTCCTCCACACACACAAAAACTCGTTTTCTTTCTCCTTCCTTCTCATGTTCCTTCTCTCCCTCCTTCCTTCTTCCTTCCTTCCCTGCCTCCCTCCTCTCATTCCCATCTC